CACTGCACATGGCAAGTCAGGGAGGAGAAATCAACAAGCCTTTCCTGCAGATAATGAGATGTAAATGCAGGACTGAATATTATTATGTAGTTGTCTCCCTGGGAGAACAATTTGATGGGTTATGCTAGCAAAAAGCCCCATGAGTGATGCTTCAGTGCCTGTCCTGGACAGTGATGGTTTCTGTTAGTAATTAAGAGCTGACTCATTTCTGCTTCTCTCAAGAGACAAATGTTTCTACAACTAGTGGCAGAAAATTAGGTGGTTTTCCAATATACCTAAGAAAGCTGTCATTTGTCCTGTCTTTTGAATAGGGGCAGGGAAATTTCAGAGCATTTTAAGTGGTTTGGAAAAAAGGCTTATAGTGTTTTAACTTTCCTTTTTGGCATTATTTAAAAAAAATGGATGAGGGGTTATTTTTTTTGTTTCTGGTTTTCTATTGGTTTTTTTTGAGTGTGAAGGGAAATTTCTGGAGTAATGTGTAGAGACTAGTCAATAAAAATCCCTTCTCTAAATATTAGTGATGTCTGGCAAAGCTTTATTAGCTACAGCTGTGGATAAAAAAAATGTTAAACTGAAAAGCATCTATTGTAAATGACTAGGAAAAGGCTTTAGAAATCTGTGGAAAATGGATAGTCATACAAAAGATTTCCACTGTAAAACAACTATTTTAAATTATTTTAGAAAAAGTAAAAAGTTTTTCTTCTTTTTGAAAAAAAAAAAAATAGCCAGTGAATTTCCTGTAATATGTATTTTAATGGATTTATTACGAACAACCTTGGCAAAAATAAAATATAACTGTATGATATGACCATGAAATGTAATGGCCCATTCAGAGGCCAAAATTTTGCATAAATTAGTCAAGAATACTAAAAAATAAGATCGTGCTGGAAAGGTGAGATGAGTGCTGAATTAAGCAGAAGAAAAAGTACAAAAAGAAGATTATGCAGAGATTTTATAATTAATTGATCTTTTACAGCATTTTGAGTAATATATAAAGGAAAGAATCTCTGAAGATTAATAGAAATAGATTAGCACTGGGAATCAAATTTCTGACTGGAAAGATTTCAGAAATCATTTAGGGGGTGGTAAGGTTATATAGTTCCAGGTCTGGAATCCTTTTCTCTCACTAATGAGATGAGCCTATTCAGAGTCCATCCTCAGGAATAGAGACTACTGTCCCCTGCAAGCTTGTACATTGTAATGAGTATCATTCCCATACGTTATTGCAATGGGCAACTGAATCAGTTCTCACTAGACCAGAAGTGTGCTGTGTTACTGCCATGGCTTACTGATACATAATTGCATAGAAGGTAATGAGATCTAGAGGAATATTTTATTCTGCTTTGCCCATCTTGTAAAATTCAGAGAGGAAGGGTGTTTTTTAAAGAAGTTCTGCTATGCCTAGGGCTCAGCAGATAATTTCAGTAGAATCCTTCTTAAGTTTGTAATGAACAAGTTTTGGTCCTTCTGATTGACACAGTAAAACCTGAAAATAACATGTACTTAATGCTGTCTTTCTGAATGTCTGCAGTAAAAAAAGCAATGGCATAGGGTGCCATTTGTATTGTTTAACCTCGATACAAAATTTTAAAATCATATTCGTTGAGCAGTGAGTGCTCATCCAAGTATGTAAACCTGATTAAGTGATCAAATATTTGGCATTTCTTCAACTGTGCATATGTGGAAAACAGACACTTAAATCTCACAGGAAATATCTAAGTATTATGGAGACAACACTGTGACTGGTTCTCATTCCCTTTGTTGTTTGAGGGCTGATGCTGATTTCTCTCATGATGGCTACCCCAATTATCTGAGGACTTTGGAAGTCTTTCAGAAGTTTTGATTACAGCCAATGGTATCCTAAAGTAGGCCAGGGATAAAAGACTATCTCACAGTTCGTGAATAATTGAGTAGGCTTTTGTATAACAATGAGGTGCCTTATGAAAGGCAAATGTTTGTTTGCTGTTTGCTTGCATCTGCACCTATTTATTCATATTTATAGGTAAATTCATATGCTAATGCTTTTTCAAACACTGAAATACAAACTTTCTGTTGGCATAATGAAGTAAAAGGCTGCTGAAATGAAGTGGAACTCTATATGTTTATACCAGCTTTAAAATTAGGTTAAAAATGTAAAATGCAGATTCAAGGATGTACCTTGGTGTATGTACATACTGTATCAGGAGTCCTCTTTAAGCCATTCCATTCTTCAGATTTCTTCTCTTCCTAAAGGTCTGGAAAAAACAGATGCCAATAAATTGAAGCTGTAACAGTTTAAAGGACAGACTTATGGAACCCTCTATTCGGCGTTCTTTAAAAGCAAAGGTTATTCATTCCTGCAGTCTGTGTCCCAGTTCTGAAATTTGGGGAAAGGACTGGTAAGGAGCATCCTTAAAGATAACTAGCATCAAGCGCTAGAATTGCACGGAGATTTTGTAGCACCCATTAATGAGGTTCTTCCTCTAGAATTTCATCAACTTAGCTGCAAACCCTCAAACTCACTTTCGCGCTGTCCTGTATTGATATCCACTGAAAAAAAGACTGAAACTGTCATTCAGGATAACCTTCTTGTTTGTCACTGAAGGAAATGCTTTAGAGTATGCATTAGATGACCCTTTATCCAGAAAATGTTCTCATCCTCACAGAGAGAAATCTGACTCCTCAACTGTGATGTCTAGTTTGCCTTTTTTTAGGGATATTTCTAGTGTACTGAATCTAACGTAATTTACATTAGAACAAAGTATGACTCTACCGTATATGTATATATATTTTAAAAAACCAAAACCAACTCCTACCAACCTTACAAAAATTTCAGTTAATTAATATAAAATATCTGTTACATTATCACCAGCTGTCCAAAATTCAGGTAATCTGTAAAATGAGGATTCCATGGCTGTACTAAAACCCACCATCATCGATGATCTGGCCTTGGGTTGTTCTGTATTTTCTAAAGAGAATTTTTTGAAGACTGTTCACAATTAAGGGCAGATAACGAAAATAAGAAAATCAAGAAAATTGAATGAAGAGAGTGGGTTTTGCCTTGAAAAAGAACTTTCTCCTCAGAGTAAGACAGATGAACCGAAAATACACATAGACTAAAAAAAACATCCAGAGGATGTTTCTTTAATAAAACTCCTGGCTCTTTCCAGAAGAGCCAGGAGTTTTATTAAAAGTGAAACTTTTATTAAATTAATAAATATGTCCGCTTTGGACAGTTGGTGCTATTGCTTTTAGTAAGGTCTAGTTAGTGCAAGTATTCTATACCTGTGTGTGCAACTTTTCACTCTATAGCATTGTGTAGTTAATATGGTTTAATCAAGAAATAACTGTGGGAGCAGTGCTGTAGCTTTGGTGAAGTCAAGTTGCAACACTGCCTAGATGTTATTTAAAGAAAGTACTATCTAATAAAGATGGGTTTTGATGTCTCACAGTGTAATATCATTTTTTTCAGGAAATATGATATTGTCTTTACTTTTCCCCAGGTTAGGTGAAGTAATTTCTGAGACAGGAAGTACAATTGTACAGTTGACACTTTACAACCTTAGTTGAAAAAGCCTAGGAGTTGTATGCTTTGTAAGCTGTATACTTACAGAGGATTTAATTAAATGCTGTGCTTTCTTCCAAAAGTCTTCATAATTAAATGTATTGATACTGTAGTCCAATGGTAGTTTTTTAAAAGAAAACACTTATTTTGACTGATAACATTCATCTGAGGTAATGGCAACAGTACAGTGTCAGTATTATTATATCATAACATGGTTAATTAAGCTTAATTATTTTAATGACACTATATTTTTGCTGCATTTACTCAGTTTAAACAGCATCACATTGAGGGGAAAACTCCCTGCTCATATTTCCTTGATATTTTTATTTCTTTTTTTTTGGTAATGAGAGATATGGTTGATTCAAATTAAATAGTACTGTATTTCTTGTACTGTGTCATTAAATTCTGTAGAATTTATACAGAAATAAGGCTCTTCACATATGGCCAGTGGAATCATTACCTAGTATTTTGTTCGTTTTTTTTTTTTTTACAATATATCCTTGAATTAATAACATAAAAGTCTGTATGGTATTGTTTATAGAGCTGTGCCAGTACTGAGTAGGATAATGAAGTAAACTGCTGTCATAGATTATAAAACTAGATTAATATCTAATCTCTTACTTGCATAATATAGTCTAGAGGATTATCATTAATCAGCTTCTCTTTGAACTGCAAATGTATGATTATATGATAATTCAATCCTTATTTTAAAATTCTGGTTACTGCAATACAGTGAGACTGCTTGGTAGGTAGTCTAATAAAGTACCCTTGTTGTTTAAAAATGCTTTTAAAGCAAAATCTAGTGCATTTCTCATTAAAATGAGAGGATAATACTATTTTGCCTTCTACTTTCTGAAGGATTTTATTTTTCACTACGTGTTCTCAATATTTAATAATCTGCATAGTTTTTCCTTAGAAAGTTTGTCATTGAATTGAGAGAACTAGATGTGTTGTCCAGTAATGGTCACATTAGTGCTTGCTTCAACCTTGTGTTTTCTTTTCTGGGTACACAAGGCAATGCTAACTGCTGATTACTGTGTTCTGTTAAAAGCTGCCACAAGTGTTTCTCAATGGTATCACTACTGTCATAGAAATAGAGCACAGACAAATGTGAAAGATAGAAATGTGTGAAGTGATTTCTGAAAGTACTTTCTCTAAAGACAGTCTTACAATTCCTTTCATACTCAAAGTTCATGGATTTACTTATATCTCTGGAATTGTCAAATTTGGCATTCGTGGAAGAAATTGAAGCAAAAAAGTCTACAAACAACTGACAATCAAAAAGTATAAAAAAACAGATTGAGTATACTTGTGTAGAAATTGTTGATGTTCTCAGAATTTTCCAGACTTTGTCATTTTAAAATATCTTCCTAAGTCAGTTATGTAACTGAATGCATTTCTGTTACTGTCCACCTTTAAAGAAAAAACTAATAGAATCCATTGATTTTGTTTGCAGATTTTCAGACGTTGTTGGTTGGTTTTCAAGAAGGCTTCCAGTAAAGGGCCCAGGAGGCTAGAAAAATTTCCAGATGAGAAGGCAGCATATTTCAGGAACTTTCACAAGGTAAGTCGTGCCATGAACTGAAGCATTGCCTGTTTACCACTCTTTGGGAAGAGTGTGGTCTTGGTATGTCTACCTTGCAAACAATACAGTGAGTCTTGTTGAAAACCTAATCCTGACAATAAAAGAACAGTAAAATGTCTCTACGTCTCAGTGATGCAGGTGAGATATCAACTGGTTTTTCCCAGATGAGCACAAAACCCTCAATGTATGTGAAGTGACAGAATAATGTGGGGTTTTTTATTTAAACATTAGCAGTTCGTGAATGTGTAAAATTGTGTGCCTATTCAAATGTTGAATAGGCACTTATTAACTAAGTATTGAACAAATTCTGAAAATGCTAAGTGCCTCAGTTGTAATGGTGACACTCACTGAATACATAAGGTTTTTCTGAGAACTCTTCGAGATTTACAGGGTCTGTCAACAAGAAGGATTTTTAGCAGTAAGAAGATGGGATTCACTGAGTGAGATACTCCCTGCTTTCTCTGTGACCTGCACTTCTGTGATGGGAAACAAGATATTTGAGCATGGGTTCTTTTTCTATCTTGTAAAGTACTGTTATCAGCCACCCCCCCCCCAAAGTCTGTCAGTAGACTTCACGTTAGTTAATCCTAAAATAGGGCAGGGCTCGGTGCTTGTACTATCATCTTCTATCAATTCATCTTTAGCTTATGTCATGTCAATGTTAGATATTACATTAAAACTGTCAAATTGAAGCACAAAGAAGACTCAACCAAGGGCCACACAGCAAACAGTGAAAAAGTGTGGATGTAAGCCTAGATCTCTTGAAGGCAAATCTGGTGTTTTCATCATAAAACTACAAATTAGCCTTTAAGTTCTAGTAGCCTTATGGTATCTCTAAATTAAAAATGTATATCTAATAAATTCCAGGCAATTGTCCTGTGAATATTTGTAAGAAGAAGAGGCCTGGTAATTTCATATTGACAAAAATCCAACTTCTTACATTCAGTTGCTATCTGGGTTTAAGACTGACAGGTACTAGACTATCGGCACTTTCACTAAGGTACCACAATGTCAGTGTTTGTTCCCTGTGTGGAGGAGGGCAAAAGTGATTCTGCCCTTCAACATAAATTAAAAAAAAAAAAAAAAAAAACCACAAACTTTTGCTTTCAAAATGTAACAATGACAGGTCTTTAAAAGGATTAATTGGATGGTTTGGGTTTACAGCTATGGTGGGTTCACCCTGGCTAGATGCCAGGTGACCACGAAAACTGCTCTGTCACTCCTCTCCTTGGCTAGACAGGGGAGAGAAAATATAACGAAAGGCTCATGGGTCGAAATAAGAACAGGGAGAGATCAGTCTCCAGTTACCATCACAGACACACTCGACTCAGGGAAATAATTTAATTTATTACTAATCAAATCAGAGTAGGGTAAAGAGAAATAAAATCAAATCTTAAAAATACCTTTCCCCCACCCCTCCCTTCTTCCTGAGCTCAACTTGATGCATGATTTTCTCTCTCTCCTCCCCACTCCAAGTAGCACAGGGGGATGGGGAATGGAAGCTGCCATCAGTCCATCACACATTGTCTCTACTGTTCCTTTCTCCTCAGGGAGAGGACTCTTCACACCCTTCCCCTGCTCCAGCATGGGGTCCCTCGCATGGGATACAGTCCTCCACAAACTACTCCAGAGTGAGTCCTTCCCACAGGCTGCAGTTCTGCATGAACTGCTGTAGCATGTGTCCCTCCCATGGAGTGCAGTCATTCAGGAACAGTCTGCTCTAGCATGGTTACCCCATGGAATCACAAGTCCTGCCAACATCTGCAGCATAAGCTCCTCTCTCCATGGACCCACAGGCCAGGAGCCTGCTCCAACGTGGGCTTCCAACATGGCCACAGCTTTTGTAGAAGCCTTTGGGGGAAGTTTTTTTTTTAGTTCTTTTTTGAGCATGTTATGCCCATAGCATACTTTATTTTAAAAGGGACTCAGACTTTCCATGTTGCTTGTCAACTGTTGTCATTGTAGAAAAATAATATGAAATACAAGAATCGTTTGAGAAGCTAAGAAAATAACCATAGATACAGATGCAGATGAATGTTGTAGTATTGATGGAAGAGCGGCCATCTGCAAAATGGAAAGCAGGGGTGTTACTCTTTTTCATCCCTTTTTTCCTTCTTATTTCTTTTCTTGAGCAGAATGAGTGGGACGAGAAAGAAATTAATACTCTTTCCTATTTAAAAGGATAATAGGCTTCTGGCTGTAGAGAAAGAGGAATTCTATACATTCACTTGGATTGTACCCATTTTTCAAATAAAGCCATGAAATCATTTCTGAAGGTATATATTCAAAAATAGAAATCCTGAATCTTATTCTTTGGCTTGATTTTTTTTTCAAGCATATTTTATTATTTCGTAGTGATTATTCTCCTCAGTTGCCTCCATTCCAATAAATGAAATAGTGAAGTTGATTTGCATGACTTGTGAATAGTCATCAAGTGTAAGTATTGATGGAACAGTGTAGGTCGCTGTAGGATCAAGTATAGTTATTTGATTCCTGGTACTGGATGAAAATACCCTGATTCTCTTTCTTTTCTAGAGCTGTTTAGTGGTTTGTTATATTTTGAAGTTGTTCAAAATGCATATTTATTTCTAACCAGTGCAAACTGTTAGCCCTGTTTTGAAATTCTCCATTTCTTTATTCACTCACAAAATATAAGGAAGGCATATAGTATGCAAGTTGAAGATTAACACTGAACTCTGAGAATCAGTGGAAAATAATTATTAAATATTGAGGAAAGGAGAGCTGGTGTTTTAAGAGATATTAAAATATAAGTTGCAAGCCTGAATCCTTATGAAAGGACAACATACTTAAAGGGGCAAGAGGCACTGCTCACACTCTAATATTCATATAAGACTATATATATCGAACCTGAGATCCTTTTTCTTGTAAAGTCTCTTTGTAACTAGTAGAAGAAAGTGGGTGCTATGGCATGGGACTGTGATTGTCCACTGTGATTGTCTAGGAACTTATGTCCTTCAGACTTTCAGATCAGTCTAGGTAACATTGGAGGAAGGTCTAGAAGTAGCACAGAGATTGTATTGTATTGTGCAATTTTTTTAGCTCTCATGCAGAATTATAGAAGAAAATGTTACATCTCAAGTGGAAACAACAAAAATTAGTATCTTTGATTTATCTGCACTCAAATCAGTATTCAGGATCACAAGCAGTACCTCAATAAAAGATATCCATCAAGATCTCCACTATGTTTGAGCTTGAAATGAGGGCCAATGAAATTCCTCTTTAAAGTATTTTACCTAGATCATTATATGTCTGCTATCCTTAGGTAATAAACTTGTGTACTGGGCAATGAGAGTTACAGAAGGGGATAAACAAAGGAAAAAAACAAGAACTGGTAGCATAAAGCTAAGAGAATTAAAAATAAAGATTTTCTGGTGTACATATACTAAATAAATATTCATTAATGAGTAAATAAGCTGGCATCTTTGGAAAGTAGACTCCCTCCCCCTCAGCCACTATCCAGTTTATATATGGGTTTGTTTGTTATTCTACAATTTCTGTAAATTGCTGTTGTGCGTTGCTTCCCTGTTGTTTTTTTAACTAGTAATTTTCTTATTATAAATAACAGTAACGACATTAGTCCTAGACAAGTGCCTCCTGACAGCAGCAGTGCATATTACATTCATTAGCCAAAATGTGACCTCATCTGTTCACTCCAGTTTCTGGTATCAAATTAAAACTTCTCATTACTGTAAATGTATATCATTACTCTCTTGTTCAGGTAAGTTATTGCTCAGCTGTACTGTTTTCCCTTGAAAATTCATTATAGAGGTTGTGCAGAACATCTGTGTTAACTCCCAGTGCTTCCTCCGAAAAGGGCATAAAATGGCAGTGGCTCTGTACCCATCCCAGGAGGTGGGTTAGTTCTTGGTATCTGTTTCTACACTATCAGAAAGGGCCAAAAACAGACACCACAGCTTTACCAGCTTAAAAGAGGTCATATATAACAAGCTTACCTATTTCTGTAATAGAAGATATAAGGTATGTAAAAAGTGAAATTCTTTCAGGCTTTGGAGACATATTGATCAGACAGTACCAGTGCCTGTTACCCATTAGGAGGGGTTTGCTGGATCATTACAGGAGGTAAAAGTGGTTAAGTAACAACATGAAGGTTACTAACAATAAGCACAAAACCTGAAGTGCATCCAAGTGAACCAGGAAAAACATTACACAGTTGACCAATGAATTGTTAAAGTGGAATTAGAAAGGGAAAAGTAAAGTTTGAAGAGCAACTAACCAGAATAAAGACTGGTTATAAATACAGATTCTGAATCATGAGAGGCAAAAAGCTTGCCAGAGACCCAAGAGTATGAGGAAAATGTGCAAAAAAGAGGGTAGAAATAAGCACTTTTGCATTGGGGTTTACTGTAGAGAAAAGTGACATGTTCTAGTGTGGTTATGCAAGGGAGGATTCTGCAGAGATGTCTCTGTGACATAAACTTGATCATAGATACTTAAGGCCCAGCTACACGGAGAACATTGTTACTCAAGGGCCCAAATGGAACTTAATGATGACATAGCTGAATTAGTAATGGTAGTCCATAAATACCAGAATGAGAATCAACAAACAAGGATTCTTCCATTGCTTGTAAAATTTCCAATTCCATTCATACATGCTTCTTTTTCACTTATAAGTTAAATAACCTTTACTTGAAGCAAAGGTCTTGTGAGTTGGGTATGTTCCTGACAAGATATAGCTATCTTGAAGCAAGAGGGGTTTGAATCTGTAAATGTGTGCTTACCCTTCAAATAAATAAATAGCTGATGTCTGGTATAGAGTTCAAGACTTACTGACTTAATCCCCCCAATATGTGAGATTGTTCTGTTAAGATTGTGTAAACAACAGCTATATCTAAGCTTTTGAGCTTTAAGTTAGCAAGATTTAAGTAGGATAAGGTTTTTAGATTTATGTTATTTAATAGTTTTTCCTGTCATTACATTCGATTATGATGAGCTTTATA